GGAAAGAGAAATCTTAAAAAAGGAAAAGTATTTATGAATGCTTGTCAGTTATCTCCATATATTCCTGTGCTCAGTGGCTTTAGGCCCTTAAAGACAAGGAGGAAGAGAAACACACCAAAAGGTCAAATTTAATTCTAGTTAACCCTCTTCACCCACTTCAACAAAATATTCTCCCTGGGTCGGAGGCACAGTAATAACTGTTCCCAAGGAAGGGTTAACAGTGTAGAAGCTGGTTTATCAGTCACTTTGATGTAGAACTAGAGGAAATTTCTGTTGGGAGGGAAAAGTCCCTCCATTCGTTTTAAAATTTAGAGTGTGGATTTACTCCAAAGGAGGCTGTTTAAATTGAAAGAAGCCAAGTTAAGTTGGCCCTTTGCCTGGAATCACTTGAATTCTGAAACTTTACTGCGACGGACATGTGCGTTGTCACATTTTCCATTGCTTAATCCTGAAGTTTGGTGCAAGTCTATCTGCGCCTATTAAAAAATGATGTATATACTTCCTTGTTATTGTATTGAGTTGTACAGAATTGTCTTTTGTATTTAACAGTTTGTAATTTTCACAGTATTTTTAATTTAAATAAACAAACACATTTTCTTTGAGAAGTCATGAGTTTTTTCTTTGATCCTTCTATCCTCCAATCCTAGTTTCTAAGACATCACACACACATGCTCTCAGAGCCAGTTCCGGGTTTTGCTTATCTGCCTACTAGACTCTCTTTAAGGCCCATCTTACTTTTGCCTGAACCATTGAGTGAGAAGGGCACTATCCTCTGATACACTCTGGAATGAATGAAAAACAAACTGCAGACTGTCTTACATCCACTTCTTTATCCAAATTCAGTGGCTATGGAGCCTTTGGACTTGAATGTGCTGTGGCATGGCAACGGCTGCTAAGATGCTAAGCCCAAGATTGGGTTGCAAGTAAACATTCGATTTGCATATTGGCTTGGCAAATATCCACACGTGTGGCCCCAGCAGCACAAGCTAGTGACAGGTGGCGGATTGTTGCACATACAACAACACAAACTGAGAAACACACTGGCACATAAAGCCAGTGAGTAGGGGGAATGACTCTCCTTCCTAAGGCTGATTTCCAGGCCTTTCTGACTTGGTCTTTCTGAGTCTCTGGCCCACAATTTAAGACATGGTCAGTCTGCTGCAGTTTCTCTTTTATGATTTTATTTACACAGTCACAAGTGCTAAAAACGTTACTAAAACCTGTAATCTATTTTTGAATCAAGCAGATGGGAGAAGTATCCCTACTTTGATGTTTTTTGTTTGTTTGTTTGCTTGTTTCCTGTGAGCTTGATTTTTCTGTTTTAAGTAAATGTTTCCATCAGGTTCACAAATAACCATCTACCTAAAGAATTTACCTGGCAATGGGTAGAGGAGAACCTGGATCCTTCCCAAATACAATCAAGGAGATCAGTCTAATTGGCACTTTGATGATGTTGGAAGATGAAAAGATTATTTTATAAAGAAGATCAGAAGGCCCATCAGTTTAATCCAGCTTAATGTCATTCTTGGTAAGGAAATAGTTAAAAAACAAAAAGCTATTTTTTTAAAAAAAAAAAACATGGGCGGAAGAGGGAATTCTAAACTCTAATTGTCCTAAAAATATGCAGAGTACACTGTGTCATTTTAATGGAATATTTGTTTTCTTTTTTAAAAAAAAAACTAAGCAGAACCTAAGGCCCAAGGGGTTTAGTCTGTGTGGATTTACTCATGCATGTGAAAAACTGAGAAGGGAATTTGGCCCTGTGCACCTAAGATATTAGAAACATATTTGAAAATCACTTAAATGTTAGGGATGAGGTAAGTGGAGCGTCCTGCTTGCTCCATGCTGTTCTAATTACACCTTTGTACGTCAGAGTCAGGCAGGGAGCTGCAGAGGAAAAGATTTCCTTCATGGACAGAATCATGGGATCAAAACTACCGGGAAAGGCTGAAGTCGGGCCACGGACGAGTGCTCTTGGCTTGTGGTTCTGGTTGGAAAGTGGACCCCGTGGTGCATTTCAGAGCTGTGATTGGAGGGTTTCATGATCAGACGTGCACTTCCAGGGCTCCGCTGAAGAGGGTCATTTATCATTCTGCAAAAATGCCGCTCAGTCTCGACATTGTGGAACAGACAGAACCTCGCACTTAAATTGTAGATTATGCTCCAGCTTGAGACAGCATGCATTTATTCCACATGCTTACCTTAAAGTCTGGGTACTGCGCTAGGTAACTTGCGGGTCACATTGTGGGTCATGGGGCAGGAGGTAGCATCCAGGCCATCGCAGCTGGGTGACTGGGATGGTGGTGCAGACTGGGGCTGGAATACAGGCAGACAGGGCAGAAATGGAGGCTAGTAGAAGCTCAGCCTCGTTCTGTTTGGCTTTCTAGCCTAACTCTGCTACCATGATGCTCTGTTGCTCTGGGGAGGCCTCCTAACCTCTCTGAGCTTACTCTTTCAATATGAAACTACACACTAGACATGTTCTTTGGTGAGCTCTCATGAAAAGAATGATGACATGTCCCAAGAAACACTGAGTACTATGTAAAACCAAAGGGAAGGCATGACCAGGCTTCCCCACTTAAAAAAAATGTGTCCCGGGTGTGCATCTGCAAATAGAGTCCCAGAAACATCCTCTTCCGTGCAGTTTCCTCAGGAGACTGCAATGTTCAGAAAAAGGACACAATTTTGCCAAAGAAGAAGGGTCAGAAGAGAGAAAAATCACTGTTAAATTCTGCCTCCCCCCATTTCTGACATGTTTCCTCCCACACAGGATGGAATAGTTGGGGATGTGAGCTGTTGCCATGGAGATAACCAGCCAAGGTCACTTGATTGAAAGAGGCTGTGGGCCCCTGGCTCTGGATCATTAAGACTGTTTTGTGACATTGAGAACTGGTCCTTGGCTTAGGCGCTGAGATTTGAGCTCACTACAGCCTCTGCTCATGGGGCAGGGGCTGCAAGGACAATACTGATATCCCTCTGCACAACCCTGTCATCTCTTCTTGCACCCCTTGCACTCTTACCTTTGCACTTCCTTTTCCTAGTTTGACATCGGGCTACGTTCTTGTTCTATCCCTTGAGACTTATTTTCTTACTGTGCATTCTGTTGCTAAGAGACATGATCAGAAAACCTTTCTATTATTTCTTTTTGATGTAAAAAAGAATTGTTCCTAATGGTTTTCTACCCACTATTCTCTCTCTACCCAACCTTCCTCCCTCTCTTCTTACTTCCTTCCATTACCCACCTCCCCCCCAAAAAAGCCCCCAAAGGATAGTAAACATGAATATTTATTCAGCATTTATTCCATGCCATGAGTGTGCTTTGTCTAATCTTTACAACTGTGCTGTGAGACTCAACTTTGTTCTAGATACTGCACTACATGCCGTGCTGGGGAAAAGTACCACCTGCTGGACTCCTGAAGAGGACATAGATTCCATGTAGATGGATTTCAACAAAATGAACTGTTCCTGGCTAATGTATAACATTCGTTAAGTATTCCTGTGTGGAGTGCCCTCTAACTCTGAGAAGGACCTAAGACTACATGGATAGGGACCAGTACGTGGTGTGGCTAAGAGGCTGGATTCCCACATGCCTGACTACAGTCTGAGTCTTGGACCCGGAGGCTTGCTTTCTCACTTTTCCCCTCTCTCTGTCTCTGGTGACCACACGTTCCTTATAACAAATTTCAAACAATAATCATAAAGATGATGGTGATAAGTGATTCAATGAATAAATAAATAAATAAATAAATAAATATGTTAAAAGGAAAAAAGATAAACATAATTAAATAAATAATTCTTTAAAAAATAAGAATACATGGTTGGTTTCTTTGGAGAGTTTGAAGGCATTGTGTGGAATTAAATGGACAAAATGTATTGATTACCTAATATTTGCTTTGCTCTGTGATAGGAATTTTTCCTTCCATGATCTTTGAGGTTCATCTATAATGCTATTAATCCAGGTAAGAAAGGTGAGGCTCAAGGAAGTTAGTTGCTGGCACATGTAATCAGTGATCAGAACTCAAATGTGAATCTTCTTTTTTTAATTTTATTTTTTAAATTTTATTTTTTTACATTTTTTTAAAATACATTCAATCACATTTTTTAGCTTACAAGGTTATCATTTCAATATGTGAACATTTCTCCCCGGTCCAGTTGATCAAAATATAACAATACTACCTCCCTGTCTCAACAATGCTGTCTCCATATCCCTCCTCCAAATGTTTTTCCCCAGGCCCCACTCCTCCACACACACCACATCTGGCATTCACACCCATCTCTTGTGTTTGTGAATCTTCTAAGATAAAAATCTGTTGTATTTTCAGGGCAGGGTCCCCTTCTATTGCTCAGTTTGCCCTTGAGTTTATAATCCTCCTACCTCAGTCTCCTAGGTAGTTGAGAATACAGGTATACACCACGACGCTTGGGTAAATATGGTATTCTTTTGTTTTATTTGAAAAGTTTATTTATATTTGGACCAGGTAGCTGGACTCCCACATAGTCGGCCATGGTCCAAATCCTGAACCCCGTGTTAAAAACTCATGTCAGGTACATGTGGATGCATGCCCAAAATCCCACGAGGAGAATAGAGGAGAAAGGATGGTGGTGTGGCCATTCCCCCTGGGGGGTGATTTCTTGCTTTCTGTCTCTCCATCTTTGGGGTGAGTGCATGAGCCCTATAACAAAAATCA